AGAGAGAGAGAGAAGAGTGTCGTCATTAACGGTCACTTCACCCGCTAACATACACACACACATATATTGCGTTGACGACGAAGACGACGATTACATTACTCGAATACATGTGCACCAAGTACGTAACACATAGATGTCTCAGTAGGTTACATCAACATCTGACCCTCAGGTACGAAGATATGTAATATTATCTGTGATAGAAGCATACATTGAATCTATTCTTTTTATTAAATGTTGACATACATTAAATTTAATTAGGCTATTATTTAATAGATATAGTCCTTCTAATTTTCAAAGTAAAACACACAATATGAACGAGTTAAATACTATGATTGCTGTGTTTTTCAGCAAAATAATAAATGAGTATGTAAGGAAAAAAAAGAATGGGTGAAAGACGATTTAGACCGGATGGGTAGCTCGCCTGCGGACTCTCGTTTCATCAACGAGCAGCTATTATAACGGATGATGATGACGGTGATGATGTTAGTGGTGGGTTGAATACCAACGCCCGAACGATTTCTTTCTTTCTTACGCTCCTTTTCTCTCGTTCTTTTTTGTTCCTTTCTTCATCGTCCTTTTTCTCTTTCTCTTTTATTTCCATATGGCGGACACACGAGTCCGAGACGAGAGACGACAATGTCGATGTCGACGACGGGCGGAAAAAGAGGAGTGAGAGAACGCAAGTAAAAGATGATTGCATGTCTAATTTACGTCATGGCGACTACGACTATATAACATTCGTTCTCGTCCTTTTTCTCTTCTTTCTTCGCACAACCAACATTTAATCCAGTGCGAAGGACAAGGCTATTTCTTTTCTATGTGCGCATAGTATATGAGTGTGAACGACAGAACACTTATTCCCTTGCCATTATCTAATATATTGAACTTGCGGCTTTTTCATTTTGTCTTTACTCTACTTAGAATCGATTACTTGCTAGCATAGAATGATATTGTGCGCAATACAGGACAATTCGATAGAACACAATTGAATTTGTTTTGGTTTGAGACAAAAATATATACTTCGACCTCTTCCATTCTATATTTATTTTTTTTCTCCATTGATTTCATTAATGTTGTTTTTGTTGTTGTTATTGTGCTATATATATATATATATATATATAATATTCGAAGAAGATGTGCGTGTATTCGTCTCTCAATACTAACCATGTCTTTTTTCTTCATTTTTCTCATGATCATATATATGATAGATTAATGTAACTTAACGAACTATTACTTTTAGAGTAAATGCTCAACGGTACTGTTGAGCCACTGCTGCCAATGAACAGCAGTAGCAATCGGTTAATGTCAATAATGATGACCAATGGTGATAGCAACATTAATAATAATAAAACATCATCAAAACGATCAACAGTGAAAGCTACATCATTGCTTGATATAATGTCTTCAACGAACAGTAATAATCATTCGTCAATAGATACTGACAATCGTATTAAATTTATCGACATGCTTGTTTGTGGTTCATGTCAACAAGATTTTCAATTATCAGATATTGTTAAATTTATTGAACATAAAGCAATATGTGGAAATAAAGAAAATAAACAAAAAATACCATATCATTTTCCACGACGACGTCGTCGGAGAGGAGGTGGAGAAGATGATAATGATGATTATGATGATGATGATGAAGATGATGATGACGATGATGAAGATAAAAGTCAACATAGTGGTCATTTAAGTGAGAGTGAAAATGAAAATAATATTTCTCATCATCAACAATCTGATCATCAACGTTTATCACAGAAACAAACAATATATCCAAAACGTCTTGTTGATGCCAGTGCTAATACATTGAACAGTACAAGTAAATATTATATATATATAATAAACTTTTATTTCTATTTATTGATAAATTCTTTTTTTTTTCTATAGCTGAACCGTATAATTTTGAATGCAGTCAATGCGGTGATGTGTATAGTACAGGTAATAATAATAATAATAGAAAAATCAGTCTTTCAAGAAATTAATTTCCTTAATTTTTAGCTTGGTTTCTTATACAACATCATCAATATGTGCATGGTGTAAAAATGTACAGTAATTGTTTAAATGAAAATTCTTCATCTAATAATAATAATAATAATATGAATCCAACAACAACAGCAACAACACTAAATAATAGTTTATTACCTAATGATCCATCTATGCTTAATATTGATCTTGCTCTACTTGAAGCTGCATTTAAAGAAGCTACACCATCTAATCGATCATTAGTATCATCCACAACATTCGCTTCAAATCAGTTGATTGCAGCGGCTAATGCTGCTCGATCAGCACAACAACAACAACAACAACAACAACAATATTCACTATCAGTTCGAACAACCCCAGATAGTGACAATAATTCACGCAGTTGTCTCTCGGCTGGTGCCAATTCAAAGGTTAATGTACCATTTTCTTCTCTTGCTGTTGCATCAACATCTAATATTTCACATGCAAGTTTATTACAAGAAGCAGCTCGTTCGAATTCAATTGTTCAATTACTCAAAGAAGTAGCTAAACAACAATCATGTAAAACTTGCGGTAAAGACAAACCAAAAAATAATACGGATTCACAATTTCTTACACCAAAATCTTATGATGTTACTAAATCTCATGTAAGTGTTTGTTTAATAATAAAATTATAATACTATTTTTTTCTTTTTTTTCCTATTTAATAATAGAGTGGGAATGATTTAGCTAATAATGTGCATAATCATGATGGTAGGTATTTGTTATTTGTTAATTATAATTATAATAATATATTATTATTTTAGACGGATCAGGTCATAATACTCGACGTCATAAAAGACGACGGCCTACAAATTCTGGTCAAGATGATGAATATGAACAAAAACAAAGATTTTCATCATTATCACTTTCAACGTCATCAAATCGAGCTACATCAACTACTCCTTCACGTTGTCTTTCAGCTTCAGCCACGCCTTCAATTACTGTTTCATCGTTCGCAGATGAATCAGCACATCATAATATCAATGGAAATAAAACAATTATAATTGATGCGCCTAACCAATCATCAGTATCTATCGATCAACCACAACAACGTAAGCGGCATCAACGTAAACCAACACGACAAAAGCAAGCACAATTATCAAATGGTATTACACCACAACATCAAATGGCGATATCTATTAAAGATGAACCATGTGATACAGATGATAATAGTGTTACATACAGTAGTAGTAATGATGATGATAAGCAATCTGTAACAAAGAAAAAGCATGGATTATTATTAACGACCGGTGGAAATTCTTCCAATGAATTGATTAATGATAATAGATCATCATTAAACAATTCGTCAACTTATAAATGGCTTCATCAAGCATTTCGATCATTGATACCACCACAGTCACAAATCAATGATGTCGAGTTAACAACACAACAAAATTCTACATCACCACAATCTAGTAAGAATTAGAAAAAAAAACAAAAATAAAATTCTCTAATATCTTTATTTTTCTTCTAGTTTCAATGATTGATAATATGACCAGTGGTGGTATTGCATCTACGCGTTCCTCTCCATCTTTATCTACTACACCACCATGTTCAACATCAGTACTAAATCTATCAACTACAAGTGGAAATACTACCGGTGACCGTATTTCACCATCTTTAGCAAATATGACGGATCATTCTTCGACATCACCTGATGGTAATCATCATAATCATCATCAACATCATTATCATAAAACAAGAGGATCAAATCAAGGAAATCGAAATGAATCGAATTCTATAGCATCATCATCAACACTATATGGTAATAGTGGTATTAATTTAAGTAATGTATCCAGTTCAAATCCACAAAGATTAATCAAAAGAGATCGACGTAATGATACATGTGAATTTTGTGGTAAAGTATTTAAAAATTGTTCAAATTTAACTGTTCATCGTCGAAGTCATACAGGCTAGTTTTTTTTTATTTTATTAACTTCTTTTTTAAAATGTATTTCTGAATTTTCTTTTTTTAGGTGAAAAACCGTATAAATGTGAGTTATGCGCATATGCATGTGCACAATCATCTAAGTTAACACGTCATATGAAAACTCATGGTCGTGGTGGGAATGAAGCATTTCATTGTCGGTATTGTTCAATGCCATTTTCTGTTGCAAGTACATTAGAAAAACATATGCGTCGTTGTGATCGTAATCCACAAATTCTTGCTGTATTTAAACAACAACAACAACAGCAACAACAAATAAGTATATCATCAATGAATAATAATCGAAAATCTACAACAGATTTAAAAAATGAATTTTGTATTGATGGAATGGATGATAATGATGATATGATTGCTGATGATTATTCATCATTTGCTGAAATAGTTGATGAACAAAATGAAGGGAGTTTAGATGAAGATGTGGATGATACTGATCTTACTGAAGAAAGTGAACAACAACCATCAAATGAACAACTTTGAGTTTTCTTCTTCTTCTTCTTCTTTTTTCCTTTTCTTTCCTTCTTTTCCTTAATCAGATATTATTTGTCTCTTTCTCTTTTTATTTGTTGTTTGTATTTTTTTTTTCTGTTTTTTCGTTTCTTTAAATTATGATTTATATATGTAAACTATTCTGTCTATTTTCATCGTTTATTATCCCACCTGTTTCATTTTCTATTTAAAGTTCGGGTTATTTCTATTTTTTCACTGTCTCTTGTGTGTTCCCGGTTGGTTGATTTTTTTTTATTCAACCGAACAAACACAGAACAGTTTTTCTTTTTTTTTCTCTATATTCATGTATATGTTGTTATATGATGAATCTGTTGAACAGTCTCTTCTATCTATGATCTCTATCGTTATATACATATACATAGATTTTTGTTCTATTTGCCAATTACTTATTTTTCAGAAAACAAAAACCAACTTTCTTTTGTTCCTATAACCAGTGTGTGTATATCTCTAGAAAGAAACAAAAAAAAAGAACAGCTATGTATGCTTTGTATTTCTTGTTTGTTTTTCGTGTAAACGATGAAATGACCGAATGACTTTTCTTTTTTTTTCTGATTTATTCTTATATATTATTCTCATATCGGGTTGTTCTGTATTTTTTTTTGTTGTTCATTTTGTGTGTGTGTGTGTGTGTGTGTGTGTATGTTTATATCTAACGCGAGGCAAACGAACAGTAGTAGAAAAGACAATATATGAACGTTATTTCATATATATGTGTTTCATTTCATGTTATATGTATCTGTGTTATTTGTTGTTTTGTTCATTTACATTGCACGTTTCTTCTCTTTCTTTTGCTTGTTCATCTTTCTCTATCTCTTTTTTTCTATAATTGATAATTAAAAATTAAAAAAAAGAAAAGCACATACGTACACAATTATTTTCATTTTATTGATAAAAAAATAACAGTAGCATCTTGAAAATCAAAGAAAAGAATCAGTTTATTACATTTCTATTCCTCTTCAGATATGGCTAACAATTCAAATCCATCGCCGATAAAGCCATACCAACAAATTATTGCTTCCGGTTCCGGTGCTGTGTTAACAGCTCTTTTTATGACGTTAGATATATATATATACATAAATCATACAGTAAACCAGAAAATTATTTGTTTACTTTCTGTTCTATTCTTATTTTCTAAGAGTAAAAATAAACTGAATGTACTAAATGTAAAGCTTTCAACATAAAAAAAAAGAAATTTTTAAATTAAAGAATTGAATAGAAATAACAAATAATATTTTTTTATTTACTGTATTTGTTAACTCACTTAAAATTTATCTAAATCTATTTTCCTCTTTTAGGCCATTTGATGTCATAAGTAAGTCTAATTTAAAAAAAACATATGTTAATTTATAATCGATTTAAATTTAAATAGAAGTACGATTACAATCACAAACATCAAATGCTGTTCGACAGAGTTCAATTAAAAGTCCTCAGTTACCGACAAAATCAGTTTCATCCACAGTTCTATCATCAGCTACATGTCGACATTTCATGACACATCAACAAGCACACTACTATACCGGTACAATAGATACATTATCTAAAATAGTTCGAGCTGAAGGGTTTCGTGTACTTTGGTCTGGTCTTACACCAGCTCTATGTGTATCTATACCAACAGTTGTTATTTATTTTACATCATATATGAAAGCTAAACAATTACTTGGTTATAATGAGAAAAGTCCAAATCCAATATTACCTGTTATAGCTGGTTTGTATTAACAAAAATAATAACAGAGATAATATTAATTCAATTTTTTGATTGTAGGTGCATGTTCACGTATTTTTGCTGTAACAACTGTTTCACCATTTGAATTATTTCGAACGAAAATGCAATCAGAAAAAGTTCCCTATAGAAAGTTATTTCAGATAGTTCGTACTTCATTGTCCGAAGAAGGACCACGTGTACTATGGAGAGGTTTATTACCTACTCTATGGCGTGATATACCATTTTCAATGATATATTGGTTTAATTATGAATCACTCAGAGGTAATAATATATTCAATGAAAATGAATCTATTTTTTCGTTTTTCTTATAGCTTATCTTGTTCGTTCCAATATACCTGTTGATAGTTATGCAACATTTGCATGTGGTGCATTAGCCGGTGGTATTGCTGCAACATTAACAACACCTGCCGATGTTGCTAAAACATACCGACAAATTGACTTAGGACGAAGTAAATATTCAGCAAACAATGGATGTATTAATTGTTCATCAACATTAGCTAATCAACCAATTCAATCAACAAGAACTCTTACGATTTTATTACATATACTTCGAGTCGAAGGTCCGAAAGGATTATTTGCAGGTATATATCCATATTAAATTTGTATTAGAAAGGTTATTTTAATATTTATGTTCTATATATAGGACTTGTACCACGATTACTTAAGGTAGCTCCAGGTAAAGAAAATGTTTGATTTGAATTATTTATTGACAGTTCTTTTTTCTTTAGCTTGTGCAATTATGATTACAAGTTTTGAATCCTTGAAAACATTTTTCCAACGTATGAATACTTCCGGTTAATTATTAATTGTTACTATTTTATACATCATTGATTTTGTTGAATGAATAAAAGCAAAAAGAAATTAATATTATGAACTATGTTGCTTTCTAGACCATTCATTTTCAATGAGAATAAAGTGTTAAGTAAAATTATACTTTGAACAATGAAAATTGATATATTTTTCTCGTTGTTAACTATCGAAATGTACACGAAGGACGTCGTCAGAGGAAATATAGGTTTTTTCTCACCCTCCTAAGATAATCTGTATGAATAAATAAGATAGATCTTTACTTCATAATTTAATTGTTGATATACTAAACAAGTACATGAAAGTAATGAGCGCGAAATATCATTAATTATGAGAAAATACAACTCAGAATCATAATTCATTTTCTTCTATTGGAGATAATTTTTGAATAATCTCTATATCATGAGGATTTATATTGCCTATAATATTTTAATACAAAAAAAATGATCTCTGCCTCTCTTTTTGTCATGTAAAGAAGTTGAAAATAGATTATTCATCGATAAGCAAATCTTGTTCTTGAAATACGATTACATGTGGGATTAAATGCATATGTAATGTCAATATTGTTATCACATGATATTAACAAAAAAAAGCTCTGTTAGTCAATTTTTGACATGAGTCAACGTTCTTTCTTTGCTTTATATATTATTATTATTAATCCTTAAAACTCAAGGTTTATTTCATTCTGAGTTTTCTTAGGTTATTATTTATTAATATTGAAACAAAATATCGAGAGTACTCGTAAAATAGATGATTCATTTATTATTTTCATTTGTATTTTTTAAACTAATTAAATCTTCTTTTGGTTTAAATTGCGAACAAAAATTTTCATATTCGATAAAACTAAAAATATATCATTCTATATTAAAATAAGAAAATAAAAACGATGACTACCCATCTTCATCAACAGGTAAATCTTTCATCATTTCATACATTTCATTTTCTGATAATGGTTCTCCCATATTCATCATAGCTGTTTTAAAAGTTTCAATATGAATAAGACCTATAAGTAATGGTTTTTTTTTACAAAATACGCTTATAATTATTTAGCTTTTACCATAACGATCATGATCGAAAGTAAAAAAAGCATTTTCTATTTGTTCATAGGAATATTTTGTACATGAAAGTTTTGACATTATATCAATAAACCATAAATAATCTATATTTTGATTATTAATAAATTCTATATCTATTTTTTCTAGATCATTATTTGTTGGTGTATAACCTAATGCTCGTATAAGAAAATGAAGATCATTTATTGTAATAAAACCTGAATTTTCTTCATCAATTAATAGAAAAGCTTCTTTATAACGTATGTTGTCCATATGGTGATATATAATTAGAATAAATGAAAGAATTACACTTCGATATTTAATGACATCTATCGATAATAAACGAAGGAAAAATATAAGAACAATGAGACAATATGGCTACGTATTTTAAAGACATTAGTCAGCTGTATATCGATCGGGCATATACAAAAAAAAATGAAGAAGAAAGACGAAATGAATCATTTTTTTCTTTCTTGTTGTTTTATTATTCCCGAACGAACGAACGAACAAATAAGACAATGCCGAAAGAGAAAAATGTCTAGGTCTCTTTCATTTGTTTTTCTTATTAGTGAAAAGAATAACTGTATCTCTTGGTTATATATATATATATACTTTTTTTGTTTCCTCATTTGTTTTAGATAAGTCTAATGGCTTCGATATGACATCAAATAATACTGGAGAAAATGGAACATCATTAGTTTTTGATACAAACAGTATTTTTATCTCTTCGACATCAATTCATCGTCCTACAACGACATCAACAAATAATAATAATATTACTAATAATAATAACTACGAATTATTAACCGGCGACATGCTTGATGCTGAACTTGATTCCGATCCTCAAATGTCTGATAGTGAACTTTCATGGCAATCTGTAACTGATGTTGATAGTTTAACAGCTACGAATCATTGGCGTGGTTGGAAACAACAAACAACAACATCATCAACAACAATAATTAATACAAATAATTCATCAACATCACCAATAAATTCAACATCAATATGTTTATCTTCTTTAACTTCTTCAAATGAAGGTTTAATAAAATTCGAAAAAAAAATAATTTTTTTTTTCTTATCATTTATATTTTATAGATCGAATCCCTACATTAGTTGATTTAACTGCCAAAACAATTGCTCGACATATACCATTTGAATTTGTTGAACGATATAAACAACCAGAACAACCTGTTCCAGAAAATTTACAACTTAAAATTGCTTTCTGGAGTTTTCCAGATGGAATTGAAGATATTCGGTATTACAAAAAAACAATTATTTTAATATAATAATTTCTTCTTTTTTCTTTTTTAAAGTTTATATACATGTGTTGCGAATGGTAGTACCGATGAATTTATTAAAGCAGAAGCATTACAACAAGCAAAAGCTATACAAAATATGTTACAAATTGGTTTTCATTTAAGTGCACAAGTTTATGAAATAAATTCAATGACAAATACAGCAAAAACAACAACACAATATTATCATGTATCAATTATATTTGATAGAAAAAAGATTACATCATGCCATTGTACATGTAATAATTCAAGTTCATGGTGTTCACATATTGTTGCTGTTTGTCTTTGTCGTATAGCACAAGTAAGATAAGAAAAGAAAAATTATTTATTTTTTAATAAAAACTATTTTCTAGCCACAAAATTGTTGTCTTCGAGCACCAGTATCAGAATCGTTGTCACGTTTGAAAATAGATCAATTACGGTAGGAAAGGAAAATGTTTGTTAAAATTTTTTCTAATTAATTCTTTTAATTTTTTGTAGTAAATTTGCACAATATCTTATCTGGGAAATTCCTCAACAAGTATGTATATTGTTTTATTTGTATTGAAATAATTATTTTTTCTTCGATATATTTTTAATAGTTTTTACCCAAAGCTCAAAGTTTATTAGATGAATTACTTAGTGATAAACCAACTAATGTAAATATGTTACAAGGAGCACCGGTAAATTAAATAAAAAAAGAATGTTATCATATTTAAATTAAATTTTGTTTTGTATTTAGGATCCAACTGCTGGTGGTCTTTCTTCAGATATATCTGTTTGGTTTCTAGATGAAACGAGTTTACAAGAAAATATTAATAAAACTCTACATCGATTTTGCCAACCAACCCCACAAGTTGTTGGGTATGATATGAGCTTTGTAATTCTATTAAATATTTATTTTCTTCTTTCAGTGATGTCACCTATTTAACAAGTCCACCCATATTAGCTACTACTGAATATTCTAATCTTCTACGTCCTTTACGTGGTCGAGAACCCGAAGGTATGTGGAATTTATTACAAATAGTTCGTGAAATGCTTGCTCGACATGATCTTAATGGTACTCAATTACTCGATATTCTTACTCGACAATGTCTCGCTCAAGAACAAGTAAAATAATTTTTTTTAAATATAAATTGACACATACCTCTTTTTTTCTTAGATAATTCAATGGTGGTTTACAACGAAAGTTTCGAATGTTTATAATGAACGAGGTACAAATGGATTAAAACCTCATAATACATCATTAGTTCAACAAGCTAGTTCAGCATTATGTGATGAAATTGTTCAAATTTGGCGTTTAATTGCACTTAATCCACGTTTAAATAATGAAGATCGTAATTCAATTTATATGAAATTATGTACATGGCATTCATCAATTATTGAACGTATATGTAAACAAAAAACAACAACAACAAATATATCAACAACAACAAATGGTGTTTATACATCACCAACAATAAATTCAAATAATGATCGAACATTAAATCAAAAACGACGTGATATTGATATATTTCCAGGATTTTTACCAGCTATTGAAATATGTCAAATTGATTGGAATAATTGTCCACATTATCCGAATAATATAGAAGAAAATATAAATACACGTGCATGGTCAGAATATGTACGGTATTATGATGAAATATTAACTGATGGGTATTCAAAATTAAATAATAATACAACTTTTAATTTTCATATTCAACAACAAAATATAATTCAACCAATTGCAACTGTTAATGAAGAAATTCATTCGAATGTACAAGATAATGACATAATTAATAATAATAATGAAGAAAAATGTCAAGATGTTGATAGTGGAGAAGAATCAAGTGGTGGTGACATTATAGATCATCAATCATCATCAAATAGTAGTGATGAATGTAAGATTTATTTTGATGATCGACAATCTTCTATAAAACATCAACCAACACCAGTAACAACAACTACACCAGCAGCAACAGTTGTAACTGAACCATATATTTTTAAGACATTAAAGATGATTAATGACCCATTACAAGTATGAAAGAAAGACGAAATCCAATAGATAATAATATTTAACTTTAAATTTCTTTAGATTGCATTTGTACGTTGTGAAGCTTTGCGTATACATGGATATCATAGTGAAGTATTTAAACTTGCGAAACAGTTAGCTGATCATATGCTAGATAGTGAAGAATATTCCGCATCTTCTCAAGGTTTGTTTTTTATTTTACCGAAACATTATAAGATAAATCTATATTTTAGCTTATCTCAATATTCATATATCCGATTATGCTACATCTCCAATCGTTCGTTGTGCATTTCTTTGTACAATTCTTAATGAATCATCTGAATATCAACAACTTGCATTTCGTATTGGTTTACTTGGTCTTGAAATATGTCGTATGCCTGCAACAACAAAAGCACTTGAAGTTCGTTTACTTAATTGTGAACAAGAAATTTGTCAAGAATTAAAAAAAATAACTCTTGGACAAACTGAAATTGATATTTTACGACAACGTGCTGAACATTTATGTGCACGTCTTTTAAATATACGTGATGATGGTATATTATTACCACTTAGTTTAGCAACATATATATTTGAAACATTACGATCACTTAGTTTATATCGAATAAATTTAAATACAAATTCAAATGTATCATTATCTCAAAATTTTTCTATTCTATCATCTGCTGAAAACAATAATCAATTGAATAGATCTGATGAATTACTTGCATTCGATACAGCTATTTGTGCACTTGGAGCAAAATGTTATATCTCCGAAGGTAAGGTTATATTTTGAAAAAGAATAATTTATTTAATGAACTATTGATTTAGCTCAAAATCCAATCCTATGTGAAGGTATTCGTCGTCAACGAAGTGATCTTACACTTAATTTATTAACATTATATAAAGATGATCAAGGACGTTTAATACAAATTCTTGATAAATTACTTGATCGTGATATACATGTTTTATTTAAAAATGCAAATATAAATCCATTTAATGTTGGTTCAAAAAAAGTCAATCAAACATCTGTATCATCACAACAAACAACAACAAATTCTCCAACATTATCAAATCGTTCACAAAATAAAAAATTAACTACAACTTCGAATATAAATGGTGAACCAATAACAGAAATTGATAGTTCAGGTTTAGATGAAAGTGAAGGAGAAAATTTTGATCAAAAAGCATGGGAAGCGAAATTTCGGTGTTTAAATTTAAAAACTAGTTCAAAAAGAATATCAAACGGTAAACATTTTTGAAAAAAAAAAAAGAAAAGAATTTATGACATTATTTATTCAATAAATAAATTTGTCATTTTTCTTTTAGGTTTTACAAGTATTGATAGTAGTGCACCAGAAACAAATTCAAGTGATAATTCACCAACTGTATCACGGCGTAATATTCGTATAGCATCATCAAAAGTTAATGCTGATTCAGAAAGTGATAGTGAGCGAGATACTGTACAACGAAATGGTAAGAGAGTAATTGATTAATTAAGAAGAACAAAGAGTAGACCTTTTATATACAACTATTCTTTAAACTTTGAAATTTATTATTTTTTTTTTTTGAATTTTTAGTTCGTAGTGAATCTCCATCACGTATGGATATAAATATAATATCACCAGATGTTCCTTCATCTCCAGCACTTAATTTAATAACTTCAAGAAATACTTCAACTATACCAAAATCTATGTCATTACAACAACAATCTTCACCGGGTTCTCATACTTTGAAATCTTCGAAAGGACATATGAATTCATCGAATGGAAAAAATCGTTCACCATGTGCTCCAAATCAACCATCCGAAGCATTATGTCATTTTATGTTTGAATTAGCTAAAACACTTGTACAACGTGCAGGTGGTACAACATCAACATCACTCTTTGTTGGTCCAACACATAATTATCCACCTCCACATAGAAATTTACATTTATGTGCAATAACTATTGCACTTTATGCACTCGGTGTAAATAATCATGTTCAAACAAATTGGATGATACGTACATATTCAAGTTTAGTTTCATGGATAACATCAACAGCTATTGATATTGGTTTACAAGCTATATTAATATTAATTGAATGTTGGGAAGGACAATTAACTCCACCTGAATGTGCTGCTATAGCTGATCGTGCATCACGTTCACGTGATAATGCTGTTGTACGTACAGCTGCTGAATTAGCTTTATCAACATTAAAATATGCTCATGCATTGAATGCAGCTGAAATACGTCAAGCATTAGCACAATGTAAAGAACAAAGTATTGATATGCTTGAACGTGCATTAACAACAATTGAAAATGCTACACGTGATGGTAATCTAGTATTTATTGATATTTTATTTGAAGTTGCTAAACGTTGGTATGAAATGTATTATGAACGAACAGGAGATTCATTGAATAGTGATGATGATTCAACAGTTGTTGATATTCGACAACCATTTGATAATAATCCATTAGCATCATCAGCAACAAACCCAATAGAATTACATTGGACACATGCAAATGGATCAAATTCATCATCAACAACAACACCACAATCACCTATGTTATATACAACAAACAATCAAAATACAAATTTTCCGACACCATTTCAACAACATCCATCGACTCATTTTAATACTCATCCTTATATGATTCAAGCACAACATGGACCACCACAACCTTCAATGCATCATCATCAATTAGGAAATTTTCATCAACAAGTTCCATATCAACAAATTATTCCAATTCAATATTCTTCTCAACAACAACAGCAACAACAACAACCACATTTTGCTTTTCATCCAGGTCCAGGAAATAATTTTCATCCTCATTCCCATCATCCTCGTCATCCACCACCACAACCAATGCCTAATGCTATACTTGTTAGTCAAGGAAACTTTCCAACTGCCTATGCTGTTCATCATGCCACATCAGGAACAAATCCACAAATGTATTCTCCGAATCAAAATCAACAACAATCATTTTATCCTATTAGACAAATACCATTAGTTGTTTCATCGCCAACAGAACCAACTATCTCACCTTCATCATCAACTACAACAGCAGCAGCAGCACAACAACAACAGCAACAACAAACGAATGTTGTTAGTCCAAGTACAACACCATCAGCTGAAGTACGAAAAAATAATTTTTTTATTTAAATCATTTTTCATATAAAAATTAAAACTTAATTTTAGCAGCAACAGCAACAGCAACAGCAACAGCAACAACAACAACAGCAGCAAACTGATCCGAGTCATCGTCAATATTTAATTAATGCATTTCGTGTTGGCATGTTAGCAATGAATACACTTGCATTAGAACGAGCACGACAAAATCATGCACATATGGAACGACGTGGTGAACAAAATCATCCAACACCACGTTATGGTGAAGATGTTAAATGGCTTCTTAAAATCGCATTAAAATTAGGTAAAACTATAACATTCAGTTTATTCTACTCTTCATCTTGATTATATTAATAGAAATATTTTTAAACGAAACAAAATATTTAAAAAGACAAGGTTTTATCTTTTTTTTAATTTAATTTAGGGAATGCTGAATTACAAGAATTTGTTACAACAGCAACTGCTGTTATTGTCAATCCATATTTATTGCATAGTCTTGCATTTAATATCTATAATGTATCACAAAATAATCCAAATGGTTCATCATCAAATCAAATGCTTCGTTTACCATTTGTTCAATCATTAATGCAAAAATGTCTTCATGCATATACACGTTGTGTACATAATAAAATGGGACATATGACAACAAATAATGATATTGAAGAATTAACATCATTAATGAAACATGCACGTTCAGCATTTTTATTTATGGGTAATACAAGTGATTATCAAGGTTTAATGAATTTTGTTAAAACATCAAAAAAATGCAAAAAAGATGTTTATCCAAGACTTTGGCAAGCAATTCAAAATTAGAGTGCAAGAAAATCCCTATATATTTTTGACGATTAAATGGCCATACATTAGAAACGTGTGCGTGCGTGCGTGCGTGATCTTTTTTAGGCATATGCATCTTGTTTTTCTTTTGTTTCATCTTTCTTTCCTTTTTCTTATACATAAATAACATCATACGGGCAGATTTTTCCAACTAAATCCAGATATAATGTATAGCGGCTAAATACGTTCACTTTGCTCTCTTTTCTCTTCTTTCTCTCTTTTTTTGTCTGTATTGTGTGTGTGTTTGTTGTTTTGTATGATCTATACGATTTTTTTTCTTCTAGTGTTAGTTTATTAATCAGAAAAAAAAACAAAAAATTTATGACTGATTTGCGGTTTTTCTTTTTTGTTCGATTCATGTATCGTATATATTATTCTAATTATAATTTGAATTAAAGAAAACAAGATAATTGAATAAGCATCGATGATGATGAATAAATATCCTTCTAGAAAAAAATAAAATGATACGTTCTCGTTTACTATCTATTAATCAACCGTTATTTCAACGAACAATTGTAACAAAAACAAAGAATATTATTAATCATGAAGAAAAGGAACAAGGACAAGAACAACAACGAAATATAAGAGAAGATTATCAATCATCAAATACATCCTATAAACCTCCAAAAAAACCATTAATTCAACAATTTACACATCAAGTAACAAATCAAGTTCCACCACTTGAATTTGTAGATTTATATGAAAGTGATTTAGCATTTCGAGAATTTCTTCCAGAAAAAAATAGTGGTCAGGTGAGAGAGATGGCTGTTGAATTAGGTACTTATCATTGGTTTGAACAAGGACATCAAGCTAATCGACATATACCAACATTACATCAATTTGATCGTTATGGACAACGTATTGATGAAGTTCAATTTCATCCAGCATATCATGATCTTATGGAAATAGGCATGCGATATGGTGTAAGCTGTAATTTTTAGAAAAGAAAAAATAATTTTCATTTTAATATTTATCAACAGGTTCATTCTATCGCTTGGGAATCATTATCTGATGATAAAACTAAAATTAATCCACATGGACATTTACAACATGCGGTATATGATTAATAATACATGTAATTGAAATATTTTTTATTTAAAATATTTTAGGCTAGACTTTATATACTCAGTCAAATTGAAGCTGGTGTTGGTTGTCCTTTATCAATGACATATGCTGGTTATCCTGTTCTTCATCGATATCTAAAAAATACAAGTCAAAATATAATAAAAAGTTTTCCATTAGATAAACTTTTATCTCGAAAATATGATCAACGATGTTTACCAGCTTCAATTAAATCTGGATTAACTATTGGTTTGATCATAACTTATTTTCTGTTTGTCTTATTTATATAAAATTATTTTCTTAGGAATGGCAATGACAGAAAAACAAGGTGGTAGTGATGTTCGTGCAAATACAACAAAAGCTTATTGTGATAATACAAGTGAAAAACGTTATATACTTGTTGGTCATAAGTAAATAAAATGAAATTTTCTAATTAAATATTCTACTTTTATTTCTTTTATCTATTAGATGGTTTTGTTCTGCGCCAATGTGCGATGGTTTTCTTGTTCTTGCACATATTCAAAATGATGAGATACATGATAAATCATCTGCCAATATTGTACCATCTTGTTTTTTTGTTCCACGATGGTTACCAAATGGTGAACGAAATCCATTTTATATTCAACGATTAAAAGATAAACTTGGTAATCGTTCAAATGCTTCAAGTGAAGTTGAATTTAATAATACTCAAGGTGTAAGTAGATATATATAATATCAATAAAAATATTTAATTATACAAATATTCTCTAGTGGTTACTTGGCAAAGAACATGATGGTGTTAAAACAATTATTGAAATGGTACAAGGTACACGTTTAGATAGTGCCGTTGGAAGTGCAGCATTAATGCGACAAGGATTAGTACAGGTAATTGGAATTGTCTTAGTAGAAAAGAAAAAAAAAATTAATGAATAATTGAAAATTTTCATTTTCATTTAATGTGTTTTTTTCCAAAAAAGATAAACTAAGAAAATTATTTATTGACTTATTATCTTGTCTGTTTTTTGAATAAATAACCACTATAATAATGATTGTCTCTCAGGAGAAATTTATTTTTTCTTTTATCTATATTAGGCTACATGGCATGCTCGTCATCGAAAAGCATTCGGTCGATTATTAATAGAACAATCACTTATGAAACAAGTTTTAATCGATTTATTACTTGAATCAGAAGCTGCTACAGCACTTGGCATGTATAATGCAACTCTTATTGATTCAACATATAATACTAAAAATACAAATGATATAAAAGCATTTGCTCGTATTGTTACAGCAATAGCTAAATTTTGGATTTGTAAACGTACACCTGAAACAACATATGAAGCATTGGAATGTCTTGGTGGTGCTGGATTTGTTGAAGAATCCAATATGCCTCGTATATATCGGGAAGCACCATTAAATAGTATCTGGTAGATAACATATATATATATTGATCAAACAACAAAACATATGATTTCTTATTTTCTAGGGAAGGTAGTGGTAATGTTATGTGTTTAGATATATTACGTGCAATGAAAAAATCACCTGAATCACTTCAAGCATATATGTCATTTATGCGTGAAATAAAAGGTTCAAATAAATATTTAGATGCAGCATTGGAACGTGTTGAAAAAACTTTATTAACAAAAAATCTTTCGAATGAAATGTTAGAACGTCATGCACGAACAATAGCTACACAATTAGCTTTATGTCTTCAAGCTGCTTTACTTATTCGTCATTTTCCACAGACAGTTAGTGATGCATTTTGTTCATCACGTCTAGGACCAAATCGTGGTTCCATATTTGGTGATTTGCCCATGGATATTGATACAGACAAACTTTTAAAAAGATTGCCTTTCTAATTTCTGCTCAATCATTACTATATATATAAAATTCTTTTTTTTTTTACTTAGTAAATAAAATTTGATTCCATTTAGATGTTAATAATAGAAATAATTATAAGAATTATTGATAGAGAGAGATTAAAATAGAGTATTATTATATGTGAAGAAGATATTTTTTGTTTTTGTAAATCTTCTAACGAAAAGTACTTGATCTATTTAGACAGTACTCTTTTAGTCACATCACATTATGCTATTTTTAAATATTAAATGACGAAATTTCTTTGCATGTCTCATACATCATTTATCTATTATTAATATTAAGACAAAAACGAAGCCAAAAACAAGAAAAAAGAAGTATTTTCTGACCTCAGTTTTACATATAATTTTGTTTTCTTAAAAAAAAGCCATGTTATATATGTCTCTCACTTTCGATTAGTTAAGTCTTCATCAAGTTCTTCATCAATATATGGAATAATTCCTCGTCCTTCGTAGGGTCCTGTACTATGAAGTGTCATTGTATAATTTTGTATTTTAAGAAGACGTCGAACAAGAGCAGAAAATTCTGCATAATCTACTTGTCGATTTCCATCTAAATCAGCTTCACGTATCATATCATTGAGTTCATCATCCGTTAATTTCTCACCTAAAAATATTCAAAAATAAATTCATTTTTTTTTTAAAATTAAAAAAAATTTTAATACCAAGATTGTTCATCACAGAACGAATTTCCATTTCACTGATTAGACCATCACCATTTTTATCAAATATACGAAATGCTTCATTAAGAAGTTCATCATTAAATATTTCCAAATGATTTTCACCTTTATGATTCATCATTATTTTAAATTCATTAAAATCGATCAAACCATTACCTAAAAAATAATCATAAAAATTGATTTATTAATTTATATTTATATTCATAAAACAAACCATCTCGATCAACTTCTCGTATCATACATTCTAATTCTGATGATGTTGTTTGATAACCAATTGAATGCATAACATAAGCAAGATCTTTTATACTTATTAAACCACCACCAAGTCGATCAAAGAGAGCAAAAGCTTCTTTGAGTTCTTTAAAAAAAGATAATGAATAAAAATTAAAGAAACAAAAATTATTATTAATTGATACATACTATTATCTTGTTCAATAGAAATGGAATTTGCTCGCATTGTCATCAGTAAAATTGACAATAATAATAATAATATTAAACATAAATGAATAAATATAAGGGAAAAAATGAGAAAGAGAGAGAGAGAGAGAGAGAGGGAAAGAATATTAATAAGAAAAATTAGATTTATTATACGATCCTTGATGTAATGATGAAGTAGAAACAAAACAAAATGAATAAGAGAAACAAGAAAACAAAGAATATGTCTAAAATTTACAAAAATTATTAATTATTTGTATTAATGTATCTATTTCACTTATATGTATATCGATGATATTCTACCCTAGGAAAACTAATACGGACTATATTTATATCTATTGCATGAGATTTACCAGTATGTGTCTTAATCGTCGTATAACCAAATATTATCAGCAATGAGTGGAAAGTTCTTGAGTGCGTGCTGGCTAATACGTCATACAACGATTAGTAGAGCATCTTCGATAGCGAACACGATTCTGCTCCCATCATCCCCAAAGACGACAGCAGTAGCATAGCAATTCTTTTTTTTTCTACTATACTTGCATGTAGAGTGTTTTGTGTGCTATTTAATATTGTCGTTTCATCCTTTACTTAGACTGAGTGACTGTTACAGTAACAGCCATGATTTACTCTTCTATCATCAACATTGCCATTTCATTGGAGTATATATTATAATTAAAGAGCGAGTATAAGTGTATATTCCAGGTGTTTTTTTTTTCAATTGTCTAATTAAGCAAAAAGAAACGAATGTTAGTGAAATATGAGAAGAGAACAAGATAAAGAACAAGACAAAAAATTTAATGATATGACGATTGTTGCCAAGGCTATTTTTGTTATTAATCATGATACAATTGATTTAATCAATATCAAAATTTATGTAGTTTTCGTATTAAAAAGTAAATGTTGTTTTTTCTTTCCAGCTATATGAAATCATCTTTTCTTTGACACATATATAATTAAATCCGGGGACTTGATTTTTCGGCCATCTATATTCCTGTCATCAACCTCAATTATACTTATATAAATATATCCGTATTGATTCCGATGTTATCTGCGCAAATCTTACGTTCTCTTCGATCTTTTCCCTCTTACTTCTTCGATATTGACAAGAAAAGAGCATCAATCAGTTCTCTTTCGACTAACATTCTAATACTACAATAATATCGTTGTATATCCTTTTCTTCTTCTTCTTCTTCTCTGTTCCTATATATCCACTTTAGTAGATATGTATACAGCATGATGTGCGTAGAAGCATTCCTCTTGTTTTTCTCAATCATATCCTGATTTTTCTTTCTCATTACTAGGTTGCTACACGGTTGCCTATATACTTGTTGATCTGATCTATTCGCTTGTTCTCCAATATACACATATTCAGTACCATCGAGAAGATGCATATGCAGAATTTTCTCCAGCTATTATTTATAGGAAACATACAGAATTGTGCCGCCCAGCTTTTCCTCTCTCTCTTTCTGTTCTTTTTCGCTCTGCTTGGAGAAATTGTACTCAAGAAAGCAGTAATAAATATTTGCCAAAGAAGTCGATCTATATCTGCCATCAAATAACACATATATATTATTATGGTGAGTGAATTATATATATATTTTCTTTAATAATTACTATAGAGTTTTTAAAATCTAAATATATTAGGCTGAAGAAGAACCAGAATTTCAATTGAGTGAAGAACAAACTGCTGAAATTCGTGAGGCATTCAATAATTATGATCGAGAGAAAAAAGGTGAAATTCCAACATCAATTCTTGGTACAGTCATGAAAAATCTTGGTCATAATTTAAAACCTGATCAACTAGCTGATTGTATTGATGCCGTCGATGGTGATGGTATGTTTGACAAGTGTTTCTTATTATATATGATGTAACATATTGTTTCTTTCTTTCTTTTGTATATAGGAAGTGGTACAGTTGATTTTGTACGTAAATCGAAAAAATCGTTTTTTTCTTTTTGTCATGATCTTTTTTTTATTAATTAGGAGGAATTTCTTGCCTTAATGATCAAAAAAACCAAAGAAGCTGAAGATGAAAGAGAATTACGTGAAGTATTTCGTGTATTTGATAAAAACAGTCGTGGTGTTATCGATGTATGATAATAGCAAGCGATTTATTTAAATCTTTCCTATTAAAAATTAAATTTTTTGCTTCAGGTAGCAGATTTAAAAATGATCTTTACAGCTCTCGATCCTGATATGCCAGATGATGAAGTTGAACAAATCATTGCAGAAGTCGATGAAGATGGTTCTGGTACTGTCGATTATGAAGGTAGAATTTTTATTATTTATTATATTTCTATTCATCGTTTTTCCTTTAAAATAGAATTTTTCAAATTGATGACAGGTTAAAGAAAAAAATGAATCAAATTCTGCCATCTTTATTTCGTTTGTTTTCGTCATCAACGACAATATCTTCTTTTTTCTTATATTTTCGTCTTTTCTTCTTTCTCCTTGTTTATTGTATTACATTAACACGTTCTTTTTACTACTCTTTAAAAAATTGTGTGTAAACCTTTTCGTTTTCTTTTTTCGTTTTGCTATGATTAACAAAATAAAACAGCTATCTGAGTACCTTGAACAAAAACAAATACATAGCTTAATTTCGTTTTGTATTTCTTTCATTTTGCATAAGAAAACATCATGCATTACATTAACAATTGAATACTTGTCATTGTTTTTATATTTTGAAAAACCTGTAGGCATTAAATGAAACCTTTCAATCTTTCTTTTCTATCTTAGCACTAAAGTGAACTTGCTAAACAATAGCAACGATGAATAAATATGTTTATTTAACACATACATAGATTACTTTTCTAACTGTTATGGTTGTTACAGAATACTGTGAGAAAAATAAGACGGAAAAGAAAAATAATGATAATATTTTTCTGTTGACACTTCTTGACATCGCAACAAACGAAACATTAGCAAACAGATTAGACATTTATTAAACTGCCGGAAAACGTTTGAATGAATTTACATTGAATATACATTACAGAGAAAAATAATAATCATGACAGTTTTACCATTTCTTGATGTTAAAGCTACACCAATATGTTCAGTTGCATCACCACGAGTATCAAGATCAATATCATTGCCTCGTTCATCTGAACATAAAAGTCAATCACTTAAAATATCTTCATCATCACATTTATCTGATTTATTTGCATCAACAACTACACCAAAAATAAAGATTTATTCTCGAACAGATCAACTATTAAAAAAATTACCACATGCAAAAACGGCTAGAGCACAAGCAGGTGACCCTGGTTGGAGACCATTTGTTCGTGATCTACCTGATTATGATTATTTATGGGATACTGTAACTCGTGAACATATGCGTCATCAATATGATGACTATGTACCACCACCACGTATTAACCCTAATGAACCTGAAAAACCATATCAAATGTCATCGATATTTGAAACTCAAGATAGACATTATCATAATTATAAACGATTACAAGCTATGCAACAACGAAAATGGAATCGGGATCGTATGCAATATAGTATTTATCCATATGGAGAAGCTGAAGAACGTGAGACATACAGGTATAGATTTATTTTTTGTTATTGTTTTTTATCAATTTTATTCAGAAAAAATCTTCGATCAACATTGAAAGAGCAAATGGAACAAAAAGCTCAAGCAGAAAAAAATGAATTAGATATAAAACATAGTACAACTCAAGAGATTTTAGATCAAGATCGGAAATTTCTTGAAGAAGAAAAACATCGAAATGATGCTCGAGCTAGATTATTAGCACAAACCACTGTTAAAAATAAAGAGGTTAAATAAAAGAAGATTTTCATTATTAAATTCATAATATTATTATTTTAGTTAATGGAAAATAAATGGGAATATAATCAATGGAATCGTACACATCAATGGCATGTTGAACGAGCTATATTAGCCGATAGTCCGATCAATTGGAGTAAAACAATGACTTAGACAGAATATGAATGATATTGAAACGATAATATACAATCAAGTTTTACTTTTACTTTTTATCTTCGGCAAATCTTTCTTTTCTTAAATATTTATTCTGTCCTGTTGACTGTTATACTATTCAACGAAGTAACAGTTATCAAAATAAAAGAAACAGTCAAGATTGTAAATTAATAGCACTTCATGTAGATGAATTTAGGAACAATTTTGAATTAACTTAAATTAAAACACTATAAAATCTAGTCTTATAATCTATTAAATATAGCGTAATGGACAAACTCACCTAACAAATTGATCTATTAAAGTAAAACTGAAAAAGTAATCATCCATAAATTTTATACACCTACGCTCTCCAAAGTGTGACACTTTAATTAATATTTCACTATGTTTTACTAATTGAGAAATAAATATTAAAAAAAGTTCGAATGTTAGCTTTATGAGTAAAAAAAATATTTCCATAGGCAATATAGAAGATATCGCTAATCTGAACAGAGTAAAAGTACTAATATTGATATGGAACAAATGGTGACTGAAATAAACTTCATTTATCTATGCGAAAGCAAACATTTTTATGGTACCGAATGTATTGAAGATTTATAGTAACTCTTACAGAGAATTTAACGTTATATTAATGTTTTACGATGCATTTTTATTTTACTTACATGATTATTGTATTTTATCAGCATACTAATTAAATAAAGCATCCATTTATTTTCGTTGAAAATATTTCATGTATGATTTATTAATTAATTTGTAATATACATATTTGTCTGCATATGTTTTTCAGTGTCTATATTTACAACACAATACTGTCACATTGCATAGAAAGACAACTGGTTTTATTATATTTGTATTGCAACAAACGTCATCATCTGGTATTTTTCTTATAACAGTTGATTAAGTATGGAAATCTCGCATTCCCATATTTACTTAATATATTTTTTGTATAAAATAATGAATTATTTTGTTTTGTAATATTTCCGTATTGAAAAAAAATGAAACAAACAGTAGAATTTATCAATAATCTAGTTTTGACCTTTAACAATGATTTGTTACTGATATTAATTATTTTCTAGCTGTACTAGCAAGTTATTATAAGTCTGTTGTTAATTTCCATTATATAATAATTTATCACTCAATCTAAATTTTGTAATCTTATCTCGACATATTAATGTTTTTCGTTCAAAATATCATTTATCAAAAATATGTCCGATGATTATATAAAATATAACTATGGTAACAGATGTAAAAAACCAGATGAAACTAGCAAGATAAGAAGAATTACTTTTAGATTTAGTCGTTTCGATGTATGGATAATTAATACTATATAATTCAGTATCACGCAACTTTACAATTATTTAATCGATATAATAAATCACTATTTTCTTCTATAAATCCACATTTTGCCATCTGTTCGAACATTTGTTAATTCCTTGTATATGATATAAAAAAAAGTGCTTATGAAAGCAATTGATGGTAGACAATTTTGTTTCTTATTACATCAATAAATGCAAACAATCTATTTTTCTTCTCTTCCTTTCATCACTCATTAGAATATAATATTATTATCGATGATAGAAAAATTAAGAGGCTAGGGTGTCAACACGAGAAATACACACGACCATATCGATAATTATTTTTTGATTGAGACCTAAAAAGTTTTTTTTATCACTATGCGATTGCGTCGAGGAACATTGTTACAAACTATTCCACCTATTGATCCACATTTACTTCAATATAAACAACATAATTTATCAGTAAGTTATTCGAATACCATCTGTTCATAGACACACAGATGATAACATACATATTTAATAATCATTAATGCATATAAAATACAAAATTATTTCCATTAAATTTTTTTTTTTCCTATTAACACTGTTCTAATAATGGCACAATAAAATCAGTCAATCATGATTGTAGAATACCACCATCCATTGATTAAATACGTATGGTTTTGTATTTCTATCTGGATCAATTGATAAAGAATATAGAAAAACCGGGAAGAAGAAGAAGACTGTCAAATACTCAATGTTAGAATAACATTGTATAAGCTGAGTATACTCGATTGAAATTAACCGAGTGTGAATCCATATAAGCAGATGATAATAAGAGATAGACATACTCAGTTAGTTAGTCAATGATTTGTGCGACTAAAAGATGGTACGAGGGAAATGTTTTCTGCCTGAATATGCAACTGATCGAGTAAAAGAGCAGTTTCGACGAATTCGATTTCGACGAAATAAACAAAAGAAACCGTCATGTGGGAAGGTAAGGTTTTTCTGTTAATGTACAAATAGATATATATTGTCTTTTCTGTTTGTCGATAAATTCTATTATCGAGGGATGGGAAAAGAAAGCAAAAAATAAATTATATATATATGTTGATGCATACAATGGACATATTTTTAATGTGATAGCTTTTCCAGACATATTTAGATTCTGCTACTAATATAAGCAAAAACAGTAGTAGTAGTTGATAACATTAGTTAGACGACCTGCTCTTATATGGACATTTCATTGCTATTATCGTCAGTTTTTTACATTTTGTAAAAGAACTCTTATAAACACAATTTTATTTCTATTCATTTTCAATGGCGTTATGGCTCGCAAAAGAAGAAAACATGAAATGCTTTATCGGAATGCAAAAGTAAGATATTTCCCTGTTTATTCTTTGCTTCATCAATATGATGTAATCTATTCTCATCAATTTCTTATTTGGACAAAACATGTCTCACATCATATATTCTTATCTGTTCTCCGTTTGGATACTGTTACTACTGATATTGATCGATTGACTGATAGAGATTAAATTTTTTCTCTTATTTACAATGAAATAAAAACTTTTTTAATCGCGTTTTTGTTTTGTTGCTTAGTGGATCATGTCGGAGTTTGTTGCTATTACAGCAGCAGCAGCTGCTCGAATTATATTTGCCATACATGGTATTGCAGCTATTTGGCGAGTAGCATTAGTATATAAACAAAACAAATACTGGTTTCAAGCTATCACGTAGGAAATAAAAACAATTTGTTTTTGTACTTAATTTCTTTGCTTTGTTATGTTTTTATCCCAATAGACTTTTTGGTATCCCAGCTGAGTTCTTTGTTACACTTTATGTTAATAATGGTCACGAATGGAAATGGTAATTAGAGATTAAATATATATATATATTTATAATTATCTTATTATTTATAGGTTTTGTCCATCGGTATTTTTTTATTTATGTACAGTTATACCGAGTGTATGGTTTCTTGAACTTGATCTTGCTGAAAGACGTTCAAAATTTAATGTTACACAAGCACTTGGTTTAATTCCTGTTTCACAAGCAAATTCTCATTTTGATAGTGATGATACATTACCAGTAAAAAATAAATTTCATAGATTATGTCTTTATTGTTTTTTGTTTGTTTGTTAAATAGCTTGTTCCATGGAAAATTCCAGCTGAAATGTGGACACAAATCGTAGAACAAACACTTCTACTTGTTCTTATTATTGGACGATGGTTATTACCTGTTGGAAAAACAATGACACGTGATCAACTTTCTCAATTATTACTTGTCTATATTGGTACAGCAGGTAAGATAAATTTCTTCTATGAATTTTAATTAATTTTATATCTTTAGCTGATATTATCGAATTATTTGAAGCATTTAAAGAACATGATGTTCAAAAAAATTTAACTATAATACATCTTATTCTATCAGCTTGGTCAATAAGTTTAATGCAATTTACACTTGTTGTTACATCAACTAAATCACGTAAACATCGTACTGGAGGTTGGAAAAAACCAGACCCGGAAGAATTAAAAAAATATCTTAACTGGAGATTATTCTGGGAAACAGAATTATGGGTAAAAATTTTCTTTCCTCATTTAATAAATAAAATAATTCATAAATATTTTTAGGCTCTTTGCACTACAATTCTTTTACAGGACGGTCCATTTCTTTGTCTTCGTCTTGGTTTAATAATTCACTATAAAATTATTTCTCAATCAAATGTATTTTTTACAACAAAAAATTTTCTCGTTGTTCTATTACAACTTTATCGTGTTTGTGTTATTATTATTGAACATCGAAAACGACATCTTTTAGCACGTGCAAGTGATGCTGCTCTAACAAGTACTCAATTAGCTGTTGTATCAAAAAAATCTCCGACTAATCGTAAAAAACGTACAGATACATTATCAACAACAACAAACGGTAGTTTAGCATTACAATCAATTTCAATGACAAATCTTCGTCCCGTCAGATTTAATGATATTCATGCTGATTTCGAAGGTAAATCAGATCCATTACCAAGACGAAAACATCTATCAACATCAATTCTAGTTCCACCACGACTCCCACCAGCTCGACCAATAATTTCGCATTCCAAATCGTTGACCACAGTACAACAACAACAACCAAATTTTACTTTGAATAATAATAATAATATATGCACAGAAGTATAAAATAACGCGTCGATTTTTTTCCTGTTTAACCTTGATCTATAAAATTTATTCTCTATTTTTCTCTTTTTGTTTTTTACTTGCGTTATACATGTATGTGTGTATATATATATATATATAAATATATAAAAGAAGATTGTAATGATCCAGTACAAGATTCGAGTGAATGAATAGATTTAGTTAACTAAGCACTAATCTTCTATGAGTAGTGGTTACGTAGCGATTTGTGTATATTGAACAAGAATAAGAAATTCTTCTTTTTATCGAAGAGAGGAAAGAAAGAAAGAGAGAGAGAGAAAGCATATAATCGATTAAGCGAAGAGAATGTCACGTATAATTGTGTATGCGATGCATGTATATATATATGTTGTAGTCAATATCGATTTTCAAAATTTATATACTACAGCTATTTACTCTTCCTGGCGATTAAACGATTTTCATATGGTAAAGTTGAACGTAATCTGAATATTGACTCAAGTGAGCATTATTCTATTTCTTCTACATGAACATAAGTAAGTAAGAAACATGTTAAAACCCGAATAACAAGATTTTATACAAAATAAATATCATATCAAGGTTCTGTTATTTTACTTTATTTTTTTTCTTCTTCTCCTCTAGATTAAGCATTTTCTTATTGATTATGTATCAAATATTTTTAATCAATGTCAACTTCGAACAGTAACAATGTATTATTTAATGGGCAATTTGATGCCCGTATATTTATTGCTATATTCGTTCCAGCAATGTTTTTATTGATAATTATTTTAACAATGATTGTCTTTCTTATCTATCGTCAACCATCATATTATGATAGTTATATAGGTGACAATGAAACTGATAATACTGATACTTCCTATTCGAAATTCGAAATATTATCTCGAGCACCGAATAGTTATGCATAAAGAAATGTTCTTTTTTCGTTATATTAATTTCCGTTTTTTTGTTGTATATTTTATTAAAACAGAAAAAAAAGAAAGGAAAAATGAAATGTATTGCGTATATGTCCGCCCTTGTCAATATTTCAATTGCTTCACACTATTCACATACATATGTTCTTTATGCCATTTCTATAGCACATTGAATTGTTTGACACTCTTTTTTCGACATGCGTCAATCAATCAAAAAACGAAAAAGAACTCCTATGTAACAGTACTATTTCTTCAATACGAACAATAAAAAAATGATTGAAAGTTTTTCGAAAATATAATAATATTATTGTTTTTTCTGAGCAACTATTAAAAGAAAAAAGAGAAATTTTCATAGAGTTATAAGAGCTGAAAAGTACTTGAATTTATTTTCATGGTAAATAATATATTCAAATTTTTTTTTGTTCTTCGATCTTGTACTTTTACACTGAATTAATAGCAACCGTATATTTATGGAATAATAATACATAGAATGAATGATCTTAGTCGAGTCTATTTAATGGCTTCTATAATGTGGCAAATACAAATATATGATTAATCTTGCTTAATCAACGATAAAATTTGTCACGAAAAAAAAGAAAAGAAAAGAATTTCGCTTTTTTCTTACTTTATTTACATTTCAATCACATTGATCTGCGCAAATTTTACTCAAAGAAACTTCACATCTATCTGAAAACGTTTATAAAAAGTATGTTCAATCTTATCATTTGATCTTATTTATTATTAGTCTTCTCATTGTACATTATTCAGGGTCCAAAAAACAAATATTGATATAATCTTATATATATATAAAGATTGGTTTTCAGTAGACAATACAACAGATTATTTTTCTATTGAAACAAATATGACACTACGATCAAGTTAGTATTATTTTCTTTCATATTTTTTTCTAAATATAACATATACTTTCTTTTATCAAGATCGATCAAAAATAGCCAATTCTCCATATATAAAAGAAAAACGTTCATCATCAGCTCATTATCATTTTCAATTATCTCCAAGCACTAATTATAATGATAATGGTGAACATCAATCTGAAACAGTATTCGATGAATTGCATTTGCAAGATTCTCCTCATGCATTACATAAATATCAACGACCTATACTCGGTTTACAACAGTATGATGTAAAGGAACCAGCTAGTCAAATCTTAAGACAAAGTGGAATTTATCGTGGTCCAGGATTAACAACTGGCCAAAGACTATACCTATTAGATAAATGTCATGTAAATATAAGAAAAGAAAATATTTTGTTTCTATAATATAGGTTGAAACTTTAGATTTATGATAATGAAGAGACGAAACGACGTCGTACAAATGCTTATTTACAAATTTTAGCTAGACAATTTGAAGGAGGTATATGATATTATGTGATTTTTTTTCTACTAAATATTAGTATTTTCTTTATAGATGCACGTTATAAACCAGAATTCCGTAAGTAAACTAACTGAGAATCTAATCTTAATTGTCTTATATTTAGGCTTTAATGATCCACGAGAGTTTTTCAGTTATACAAAATTTATAAAAACACCACGTCCAACAGCTCGTCCAGTCAATACAGGTTATTTTACACCTAGAAATGCTCATTCTTCTCGTCCAAGAACTGCCCATAATAAACAACAACATTCATATACTCGGTAATAAACAAAAAATAAAATATCAACTAATTATTTTATTATTTAGTTCGAATAATTATCTTGATAAAAATGATTTTACTTATACGTCAAATTCAACAAAAGAAAAAAATAGTACTAATTCATCACGCGCTAATACTGGACATGTTACTACTCATCATATTCGTCAAGAGCCAAAATCAGCACAAAGAATTTCTGTTAAATCATCATAAATATACTATTAATATAATATAAGATCTTGCTTTTATATTTTTTTGTATTAATAAATGAGAAATAGAAATGAAATGATCTATACTATACCGATATAATGTTTCGCCTTTGAATAAACAATTCATAGAATGGATTAAAATCGAACTGATACCATTCGTTTTTCGATTTTGAATAGCATGCTTAATTTATTTACAGGAAGCGTCGCAAAAACACGATTTTAACTATGAACTTTGTTTTTTTTTACATTTCGAGATTTGTGATAGAATTTTTTATGGTGAAATTGTTTTAATGAATGTTATTGAATTACAAAAAAATAAAAATAATGGTTTATCAGTGTCGAGAGTAGGTGTAGATGAGGATTCAGATGCAGACAAAGAGAAGATACATCTGTAGACTCACCTATATCCACACCCTTCAAAAACTTAAAAGTTCATCATTAAGTGCTCGAACAAGTGCAGAAATTTTATATATAGATGTTTCATAGATCGTATTGTTCCTTCGAATCACTTATCTAAAGTATAACTAATATAAGTATTAAGTGCATCGTAAAAAAACTATATAGTTTGCGAGATCATGAAAAGAAGAACAAGAAAAATTCTTTTCATTTACTTTAATTATTATGTTAATAATTTACAAGAACAACATAGCGTATTCTGTAAATGATGACTGATGATGTAGCCTGTGGAATTGATTATATTATATAATTAAGCAAATATTTAAAAACAACTTTTAAACTGCATATTATTTTTAACTTGTAATTCTAATTAAATTATTGTTCAATACGAAATATTCAGGAAGTAATATAGTGCAATCTTACAAGAAAAAATATCTGTTTTATCATCTATACATGGGATTTTATATGTAAAAATGGAATAAAATAAATTTTATTGTAACGTCGTCATTTTTTATGATGAATATTGATTATTCTAAAAGCATATAAAATATAAATGACTTTAATCGTTCATAATTCTATTGCTAGAGAGAGAAGATAAAATTTATTAATTATAATAAGTATATTAGCAATAATTACTTTGAATTGCATTTTTTATATTAAATCAAATAAAAGTTGAAACAATGTATTATATGAGTTTATCGTAATCACTGAAAGTACGGTTTAGTCAGTTAATTCAATATTCACCCTCATGACTGTGATCTAAACAGCACAATTTAGTGTTTTCGATTAATTTAGATCATCTAGAACAAGATTTATCTCGTTAGTTTTCGATTAATTCTTCGGGGTGTAGCTCGATCTTGACATTACGAATATCTACTTGTATCACTGTATTAATTGAACTTATCTTTAGTTGATACAGTATAAGCACGATTAGTTTTATTTTTTATCTGTTCCTTCACTCTTTATTAGTGCATTTGCTTTCGAAAATAAAATATTATAACTTTTTATCAAATGAATGAATTATAATAATCCAAAATTAAAAAAAATAAAGTATTATAATAAAATAGAAATACATACTATTTATTAATTCAGTCGATTTAGATGACCTTCTATGAATGAAGTACAATAAATAAAGAAACTTAGTAGTCTTCGTGATCTACGACGGCAATCTGAAAAAATAGCACAATACTGCAACATAGATAAAAGTATAGAATATTGTTTATTAAATTGCTCATTATCGTATAGTTGTATATCTTCGTTTGTTTACTCGTAGGCGATCGTTGACTATTGTTTATATTCGATCTCGGAATATAGAAGTAGAGGATAATATTCAACCATTTCCATTAGATATAAATATCGTGAGTAGAACTATATTTACTTATTGTTCGAAAGCTTGATAAATATCTAGTGTTACTTTGTTGTAAAGATCAGTTATTTTTTTTCCATACATACAATTTAGCTGATCTATTTCGATATTTTATTGTGTGCTTTATCAAAACCCTTAAGTGTAGTGGTTGAAAAATGAGATATCATTCTATGACATCTCTTCAAACAATTTTTCTCTTAGTGTGAATCTGAGATCACAGGACTATAATTGACTTTTCTACATTATAGAATAAATTATAATTTATGATAAATTATTTATTATATTTCCAATATGTCCAAATTGATCAATACATCATGAATAAGTGATTATTCTTCTACACAGAAAACACTGTCGTAGAGAATCAAAAATGTAACTGAGTCTCAGAAGGTCATTTATACACATATATATGTATGTGTATTACCGTGTCAGTCGGCTTCATCCATCACGTTTTTATTATTTACACAGCTGTTCTCTGAACGTGTACGTGAGCCACTAGAAACGAATTAATTCAAAACCAAGTGGACAAAAGATTCCTTTATTTATCAAATATTCTTTATAATTTCTTTTTTACAATTTCAATACTTTTCTTCACATTCTTAATACTACGATGGTTTGGAGGTAATGCTCGTTGTCTGATGTCCAGCGCACGTTCATAATGTGAAAGTGCTTTCAAATAGTGTTTCATACTGTAATACACATTGGCGATGTTGTTGTGTGAAGCGGCTAAATCACTGTGATCTGAAGGAAGAGTTTTTTGATCAATTTCAAGTGCTTTTTCGTAAAATGAAAGTGCTTTAGA